AGCGTGATTTAAAACTGGTTGTATCTCTAAGCTCCACGGGTTCTGTGCGAATGAACACATTTTGACTGCTGTTTGTCACTTCCCGAGTTTCACCTTCCTCTTTGGCGCACAGCAGGCAAAGACACATTACTTGCTGCACTCGCCTGCTATGCCTCCGTAGACCAAAGGCTGAGAGAATTCCTATCTGTCCAAACACAGCTGCTAGAACGACTAAGGATAAAAACCAAAGCTGTGAAAAACTGGCTCGGCATCCAGGTTTGAACAATGTGTGAAAAGGAAGTGGCAGTCAGCCAGGGGCGATGGTTCTACTCCACTACCAGAGAAAATTTCAGTACCACAAGCTTTTCAAGAAGCTGTGAGAAATACAGCTGTTTCTGAGCCAAATTATTCACTGCATTTTAATCTGCACATTGTAGACTAGCATAACACAAACAAGCAGTTATGATGGAACTCATGAAAAAGACACTCATTGAAAGCCCCGAGGTAAGACAAAAGAGAGCTGCAGGGGACGTCTGCATGATATATAATTAGCATCACCTTTTGATTTTTCAGGCATATTTTAATCCCGTATATCTATAAATCTGAAGCTTTTAGGGCGTATGTTGTAACTCTTGATCTCTGGATTATGATTTATGTAACAAATCCTTCAATAAAGAACAGAATCCTGACCCACAGAGTCCACTTACGACCCTTTAATGAAGGAAGCAGAGGCGGATCACTTATTATACTGAAACACACAATAGCCTTGACCTCACCTTCAACTTGTTTCATTTCCTGACTGATGAACTCACAAGTAAACACATATGTACCAAGGCCTTGTTCCTTGAAGTCAAGATCATAATTTTTGTCTTCAGATGGGAAGAAAGTCTCCACAGTGTGACTTTATGTACAGACCTGTGTCTCCTTTCTGCTATAAATAGACACACAGAATACCCAGTCTTTGTGAAGACAACTTTATGGGTTAAAGGTAAAAGTAGTTGCAAAACCAAAAACTGCGGAAGAGTGCAAAGAGTGCACAGTCTCACTTTTCTGCGTGTGTTCCTGTAAATAAAGGTTTTGAAGCAATTGCACAGAATTATTCTCAAACAGTTTTAAGGGTTTTTTCCACAGCAAAATGGACGGTGAAAAGAAAAACCTTGTTAAGGCTGCAAGTCTGCAATTCTGACTTCAAAGAGGCCTGTTGCTCAACCATCATCCACCCGTGTGTTCGCTTATCCATTACACGGGTGATTTGGCTGATTTTGTCTATGTCAGTGGGTTAAACGTTTTATTTCATCCTCACTGATCTCATCGGGAAGCTATTTTGAGCAAGAACGCTCGAAACACCCACTGTATGCTATACGTTGAACAGAAATAGCACAAGGTCACATCTAAACACAGCAAAGCATTCAGCAGATAAAGACCTTCACAATTCCTTCTGTTGGTAGAGACCAAAAACAGAGCAAAAAGAATTTACTGTCATAAATTATTTATAACTGACAGATGAGGTCATAAGCAATTTTACAATGAATACAATATCAATATTGTGTTTGCAGTTTGTTTCTATTTGTTTCTACTATTATTATTTAATGAAGTTACCATTATTATTTACTAATAGTATTATATTACTAATTGCCTTATCATGTTTAGAACTGTGCAAGTAAATGAAACAGTAGTAAGGGTAAATGTTACTGTTACTGCAGAGCTGTTTATAGGTAGGTGTTATGTCATATTTCCTTCAAAGCCAGTTACTTCCTGTCCAGGAGGATATGGTGACTTGTTGCTAAGGCACAACACAATCTTGGTACTTCTGTCTGTCTCTTATTTGCTTCATCCTGTAAGCTTCTATACTGTGCAGGGGAAGTGGTGGAACTGCTTGCAATAAAACAGCAGCGCCCTCTTTATGACACTGTCAATCCTGCTGATTTTCTGTTGTCTAACTGTGTGTAACACAAAATGTGGTGCAGAAACAACACGAATGATATCGCTCAGAGATTTGAATCTGAAAGCCCATTTCCAAAAAAGTGTCAAATGTAAATGAAAACAATGCAACAGAATCCAAATCTCATAGACCCACATTTATTCAGAGTAGAAAATAGAAAACATATCAAATGTTTAAGCCAAGAAAATGCACCAAAAAATAAGCACATGGTTGGATGGTACCGACACGTTGGACATTGCTCTTGTTTACCACTGTGTAGCGTCCCCTCTTCTTTTAAAAACAGTCTGTAAACATCTGGGAACTGAAGAGACCAGCTGCTGGACTTGCGGGAGAGAAATTTCCCATTCTTGTCTGATATAAGTTGCAGTTGCTCAACAGTTCTGGATTTTCTTTGTTTTATTTTTAATTCCATGACGTCCTAACACGTTCTACTCTTCTACTATAAGCCCTGCTGCTGTATATGCAGTATACTGTCTAGCATTGTCATGTTGAAATACAGAAGGCATTCACTGAAAAAGAGGTAAGCCTGTGATCCTTCTGTTGGTAGATGGGAGCATTTGTTGTACTAAAACCAACGGTGCCTTTCCAGATGCACAAATTGTCAATTTCATAGGCACTAATGCACCCCATACCATCAGAGATGCAATTTTTCAACTGAGCGCTGATAACAGCACTTGTCCATTTCTGCTTTAGTCCAGAGGATATAGTGAAATTTCAATTTGTCTGACCACAGCCTGTCCGAGGTACCACAAGGAGAAAGGCGGGGTACACCCTGGACAGGTCTGCAGCCTGATGCAGGAAAAGACATAGAGACAAACTCACATTCACAATAATTGTATGTCTGTGGGAGGTATTGGAAAGCATGGCTGTGGGAGCACACGCAGAGAACTAAACAAACTCAGAAAGGCCTCTGACCAGAGGTGGAGTCGAACTCTGGACTTGCTTACTTTAAGACAACAGTGCCAACACCAGTACTAACATTTATGTAACGATCTATATTTACACATATAATGGTCAGTATGCTGTTTCTTCCTTCTTGATATACAATATTCCTATGCATGTACATAAATCCTGTTGTTCAGATGATCTTACTGTTTTAGCTTCCTCTCAGCGTGTCTGCTCTGACCAAAAACAGTGTAATTTCATCTTTTACAAACAACAGATGCGTCCTCTTTTGGAACATAATACATCAGCTAACTGTAGAAAATCAATGAACTAGACAAACACGCACGGTGCACTTGCCTGTGTACTTCAGTTCTTCCCAACTGCTTTTAAACGGACAGACTGACTTAACAATGGGTCATTAATCACATCTGAGAGTCGCCGGAGACACACAAACTGCATGCATGACATATTGTTTTTTTGACCTTGGCGGACTCACGATTGAAGGCATGAGCAGACACTCAAAGCTTTGACCTTTTGATTCTGAGTGCAGCCGCTGCAGACACGGCAGCGATCTCCCAGGAGGATTCAAACCTCTGCTGCTGCTAATGTCTTAAAACTGATCAAAAACTAAACACACACCTCAGCCAGGTTTAATATACTGAGGATTGTTAGATTTTGAGCTTAGGCGTTCCCCGACTTTATTTTTACTTCATCTTTGCAGTAGAGGTTAGATGAGTTTCAGCATTTGCAGGAAATATCCTGTGCATTGTTTCTCAATTACAGGGAAGTGAGCCAGGACAGACTGAGAGTTAACACTATAAACATGTTTTGGTTGGAGGGCTGCTGCCTGCAGGAGAGAACAATCACATGCCAAAGTCTTCAAAAGAAATATATATATAGAACACCTGTTTGGCAATTCAAAGAGTAGTAGAATATACCAAATAAATCCAAATATTCCTGTGATTTTGTTCAGCGGCATCAAAAATATACCCAGTTCTTCTTCTATGGACAATAATAAATGCATTCCAGCTATGTTCACTTTTTCTTCTCTCTTCTTGTCACATCTTACTTTAATATTATCCAAACTTATAGACTTTACTAATAGTGCAGTGCTTTTTTTCTAGACATACACTGCCACCTCTTGGTGTTTCTCTATATCTACAGATAATATTTGCTTTGGTCTGTCCTGTCAATTTTTTAGCTATTTATTTAGCTGCACATTAATAGAATTATGTATTCATGGAATAATTCAATTCAATTTAATTCTGTTTTATTAATATTGCATCAATTTACAACAACAGTTGCCTCAGGGCACTTTATACTGCAAGGTAAAGACACTACAATATTATAAAAAAATCTCCCAACAATCATACAGCCCGCCCAGCCCCTTTTAACACAGGAAGAAATATCTTGCAGAACCAGGATCAGAACTGTACTTGAACACAAGTAAGAAAAATGTAGGCAGCCCAGCCTCCTCATAGCTGTACTTATCAAATAGGTGCATCTGTGGTATAAATGTGAAAATAGGTGATTTTCAGAAAAGTTGAACTCTGACCTCGAGGTCGAGATTCCTCTCCTCTGGGATTTTTAGTAAATGCACGTATGGTGTACATTTCAAAATCCTACGTTGCCTCGTTCTCAGGTAATGGCACTCACAAACTTGGGTGTCCAAATTTAGCTCATATACCCGACATAAGCGACTGTAAACCAGTAACGACAGCTACTTCACTACGTGTGGGAATTTACACTTAATAGTTGGAATCAAAGTCATAAACTATTAATAGTTCATATTTTTTTCGTTTTAATCCTTGGTACGCGGATCTTCAGAAATAATTTGTTCGCTAGAATCACTTATCCGCTACAAAATTAATATAATTTAAATACGTATGACTAGAATTTCCACTCTTTACACCCCCTGTGGAGCTAAAAATGAGGTACAAATTTAAAATAAGTGTAAAAAAAAAAGATGCACATTTGTTGACTGGAATATAAAAGAGCAAAGGCGAAGAAACACCGAAGCAAAGCTGATAGAAATTTTCACAAAAATATAGGCACGACTATTGACTATTTTTTGACGCACTTTGGAATTCGGACGCTGTTCGGCGCTCTCTCATCGCGAGAAAAGCCCCGGCCTTGCCCGGCCAAAGATGCTCCGGCATCTCCAGAGTCTGCGAACACCCCCAGAAACTCAGCATCCAGCATTTCAGCCCTGACGCCGGAGCGCACCGGTTTACAGGCGACCTCAGAGGCGCTGCTGTGACAGAACAGTTTGCAATGGACACGTCTGCACCGGAACCGAGGACCACTGAGGTTTGTGAGGTGGAGGAGGCAGAAGAAGCTGTAAGCTTGAGGAGAAGTAGTAAATCGTCAGTTTCTATTTAATTCCTGCCTTTACGCAGGGTGGAGAGGCAGCGCGATCCGCCGCCTGACAGTAATCCTCTGCCCGGGAGGAGCAGGGAAAGCCCTTTCAAGGCTGAGGCAGAGTGAGGGAGGGAGAGTTTTAAGTCGGATGGGGAACGAGAGAGTTGTCATATTCGGAGCTTTTGCCCTGCCACTCGAGGTTTAACGGGGCGACTCTCATTCAAGCTTCTGGGAATTAACTTCGCACCATGAGCGGACCGACGGACGGTAAGCAGTGTGCGCGAATCTGCCTGATCAATACCACAGTGTCCTGAGAGGGCTTAGCTTGAAGTAGACATAAACAGCCCCTCGCCAAGGTTATTGATCACTGGCTCACTTATTGACAGGCTGTTAACTAGCTTTTCTTTGGCTGTGGCATTTTGAAACAGAGCATGATATTGGTTATAGATCGGTGACGGGATTCATCAATGTTTTCCTCAATGTCATTGCGTGTTGCCAGATCTGAGGACTGTCAGCAGTATGAACTGACTCATGAGGGACTCCAACAGTAGAGAAATTTCCAAAGTCATATCACCCAGCAGGCTGTTTCCTTTTATTGACCCAATATTTAAAATCACTACTCGAACATTTACTTTTTGAGGCAGATTTTATTGTTATTATTCTTATTCTATTATTCTTTGTGTGTGTGTGTGTGTGTGTGTGTGTGTGTGTGTGTGTGTGTGTGTGTGTGTGTGTGTGTG